GTTTCAAGTTAAACGCCTCATAAGAATGCTGATCTTTGTGCACCCCAAGTGTTTTGGCCAGTCAGGGTTCTTTGGAGGACTTAACACAGTGCTGTATTATATTGTATCGAAGGTTAACCCAGTTATACATATTCAAGCTTTCCATCACACAAGAAAATGATTTGTGGCTATGTTGTTTGTGATCCAGTGAAAACTCGAATAATCGGAAAACTACTTCAATGACTTGGAACGAAACAGTGTGTGTAATTTCATTGACCCCCTTCCCCCACACATCGTAATGGTTTTAACATTTTAACATTACGACCTGTTGCTACGCGTTTCTTATGTATGGGACTTTGCTGGTCGTTGGTCGAATATACACACCCCGAGATCAGTATCAATATCAGAAGATAGAACGTCTCGGATTCTTGTCTTTGGTGGTTCTGTAATGATAAAACAATACGTTAACATACGGTATGGTAGACAAGAAAGTCAAAATCGAAAGGAAACACATTCGAAGTAATTTGACCAGCACCAGTCCAACAACGAGCACCAGTGTGTGGTGGTCAGAGCAAACAGTAAGCAAACCAAGATGACCAGCCACCAAGACAAAGATAGATTACAGCCAACCAATGGGAAAGCAGGAAACAGGGAGACTGTCCGAATAGAGTTTGACTACTGACAAGAGTCACTATTAGTAATGAAACAAATAAACATAAATAGAATGTCACACTCCCCTACGAAGTCGGAGTTCTCTGACGTTTACGAGCATCTCCGATTTTTATCCTTGCCGATTCCTCCTCCAAGGGATACACTTGTTCGATGCCTCTGGCTGTCTGATACACCGCGGTTGTACGAAGAACCTCTCGAAGTTGGGTATGTTATAAAATCACTTCGACAGGTTCAATTCATCACCCAACATTTCTTCGTACCATTCTACTTTGCGCTTGCATAACCTCTGCAGTACCAGTTTTGGAGGGATTGTCACGGGCGAGATGTATATGACCAGATCGAAGAACGACGACGCATGAGATTATATATTCCTTCTCGTGAAATCTTTCGTCACTGGACGTATATGCAGACAAAACTCGCTAGACTTGAGGTCCCAAGCTGTACCCAGAGCCAGCTGTGTTGCTCGATCCTGGCGTTCCACCTGGATGAATGTGGCGGCACGTTCCGAATCACGAGTAGACATTATCAATTCAAAATCTTTGCTCTTCCATTTCCTCAGGTTGAACTCTGTTTCCTAACATTGACTTCAGTTGCCGGAGGAAAGAGATTGCGCCGCCTCAATTCGGTACACTAATCAAGTAATTATCGACGTAACCTCGTACCAAGTACTTCTTCATGGTTTCAAAGTGCGTCTTCATCAGGTCGATTGTATCTTTTTGGTAAACTATCTTCAAAACCTCTATCTGTGAGATCTCTGAACAGTAAACACCTTTCTTACTCCCAGGGACGGCAGGAATCGGACCCATTGTTGCCCACCCAAGTATAGTGTGTACAGTATAGGGCTCTCTCGGGTTTCCCAAGCGTTGATCAAGCACTCAGTTTACTTGTGGCACGTCGCTCCCCAACAAGATTCCTATCTCCACGTTCTCACGTGAAGCGAATTCAATCGAGACCCAAGTGACTTTAACCTGTAGATCGTCGTGACGCGGTTCACACTCGGTAGAAACTTGACCGAATACGCCTTTTTAACGCAGACAGTGTTGTCCGTACCGTCGGGCTCGATCTCGAATTCCACCTCGGTTGTTTGGAGAATGCTTTCTTCATTCCGTGTGGATATAACGATATCCTTGAGTCTACCTTTGATTTGGAGAGCTGTCACCAAATCATCACACACGAGAACCGCTGTCCAACAGAAACAAGGTTCGCACCCTACGACTGCCGCAACGGATTGTCACGGCAAGAGCCACAGTCGATACATCGTCGTTATCGGCTACTTAATTATTGTTAATTCTTGGTGGACCAGAAGCCGTATTACCGTCCAAGTGCAGAAGAGTGTGGTGTTGTCCACCGCATCCTTCTGTGGTACACCCTCGAGTCCACTTGCATTTCCTTGCTATGTGATAGGCTTTCAGGCATCGATGACATAGCTTTTGTTCCTGGACTAACCTTAGTCGTTTCCTCACATCAAAGTTGGAGAACACCGCATGGGTCAGGGTAGTGATCGTCCCCACAGATCGTGTATCGGTTTGTGGTTGATTTGTCGATATCTTTCATTTCCGTGTTGGTTGTGGTATGGATGTTCCGACGGACTCCAAATGGTATGCCTTCAGACATGGATACCTGTCTGTTACTATGGTCACCCTTAAGACTAACAACCAATTCTCCAACGCGACTGCATGCAAATATCACCCCACTCTTCAAAGAACGACGCTAATTCATCAAACTGAGGTTCTTTCTCGTGACGCATCAAGGTGGCGGCTACTTCGGTCCATTTGAAGCGCAAGTAAGAAGGCAGTCTCATTGCAATTACCTCTATGGTTTGACTAAAATTCAAGTCTGACGAATACCCTAGTTGCCTCAGGATAGCAACACAGGCTTGCGTCTGTTGACTGATTGAGGGCGAGTAATGCTCCTGGTGTCATCGGATCTTATTGGAGGACCATAAATCAAGTCGTTGATGAAACCTCGAACGACCGTATAACTTTGAACAAGCCTCCTTCGTCCGGTTCCAAGTACATGCAGTGTTGGATGGCTTCCTTCCTTTGAATCACCTTCGCAATACTGAACTGGATAGGTGAGGCAGGTTTTGTTATCCTTGGTCTTTTTTCGACCATGGAATGGAACTGCTTGATAAATGCGCAGTAAGATTTCGGATTGTCGTCGATCTAAGGATCTCACGTTTCGGTAACTCCTCTTGATATTCATAGACGGGTCGTACGAGCCGAGATGTCTTGACTTCCTTTGATTCGTCCTCTTTGTGCAGCAGTTGCAATTTCTCCAGCTCGATACGTTTGTCAAATTCTAACAATCGTAACTTTGCCAGTTCGATATCCAGGCACTGTCGCTCGAGGTCAACACCATCAGCCGAATTTTCAGACACCGCTCTGGAATGGAATGATAATTCCGGTGGATTATTTTCCATGATTTGGTCAAATTCGAATAACTTTGTTGCTATGCGATGCGTATGTATGGCACTTGGCTAGTCGTTACTCGAATATACGCCCTCCAACACTATCTTCTGATGTTGACATTGGCCTCGGGGTGCATATATTGGAGCAGCGACTAGCCAAGTACCATACATCCGAATCGCGTAGCAACACGACCGTAACCAGTACAGTGAGTCAGTTACAGTTGCCTTCAATAGTTGTTATCAGTGTGAAATCAATAGAGCGCTGTATGTCGAGGCTGCGTTCCTTGGGCTGATGTGCACGTGCAGTATGAGGTTGGCGTTGTTGTGTTTGATAGTACCAAGGAACGACCGATTTGTGGCTACAGTTGGTGCAGTTCCACAGTTTTTTTTGCGTGGAATTTGATTAAATTTGATTAGACGACTCATTCATCGAACATGCATCGTGTTCTCTCCAGCATTGGTCTTATCCACTGGTCGGAGCCACACAGAGTGGTTACCGGGCCATGTTTAACACGTTTATTTCTATCAAACTCCAGTGCAAGTGCACTCTCACTTGCGATTATCGTTTGGCTAGAAATATCACACCTATTAGCATCAACATTCTTATGTGTAGGTGTTTTTGTACATCTTTATCCAAAGTACTGTTTGGTGTAAAGAAAAAACCGAGCTGGTCTGATCAAAGGCAAATTCACACTTTGGATGGCGATCATTTTCGTTGTCATGTCGCTTAGATTACTCTGCTTCTTGCTATTGAACAAGAGTTCATTAGGTTCAAGTTGTCGGAAGAATTCACTCAATATTCGAATAATGAATAATTCGAATCGCACATTATCAGAATCATCTAAGCCAATTGAATCAGAATTGTGTCCAAAGCGCCACTAGTCAATTTTACTGACTATGGATTGGGTGAGTTCTGTGGTCTACACAGCCAGGTGGTGGTTTTGTGCATCATTGACACTCTGGTTTACCATCGAAAATTGTTTATCCCCGCCCCGCACTAGGTCGAACCAGATCTGCTGTAAGAGTATATCAACCACGACCAAGAGACTCGAACACGTAAGTCGCGTTAGACTCCCTGAATGGGATTCTCGTGAGCAATATAACCCATGGTTAAAAACAGTAAGTGGTATGGCTGAGTGTCTTAAACAGTGACACTCCCGTATCTACTCAATCTATTTGCAACCTCAGCCTTCCACAATTCACTATCGCCAACACTCCTTCCGGTATTCCCATTCTTCCCAACGAGAGCAACCAAAACCGATCCACAAAAGTGCACAGTTCATATTTGATTTTTATCTTTCTTATTTTGAAAATAAAATGATTTAATTTGCCTGAAGAGGAAGCGACCACTCGGATATCTGCCGTGTAGCACTAGGAAAATGGGACAAGTCAGGCGGCGGTGACGGTATTGGTGGTGGGATTTGAACAATATCGTCTGGGGTAATGACCTTTAGCGTTTAACAATCACCGCTCAAATGCTTGTTTGAATAGCTAAACTATGCTGCTTCATGACCTGTCATCTACAAATCTTCTGTAGCACTGTTCCCCCGGGAACACTGCGTAACACGTGTACTAGTTGTTAGAGCCTGTCACACCTCGGTGTAGTTAACTGATAGCCCACCAACTTTCCAGATCGCGTTCAATCTCATACGAGTTGTTCCTCGAGACTTTGGCGATGATTTGAAAACACTTTTTGAGATGGAACGACCTGTGGAAGCGATCCGGTCCCTAATATCCCGTGACTCTCGACAGCCTGGTAGAAATAAGGAGCCACAACCCGAGAAAATATGTTGTTCCCTTAAATGCCCCTGAAGTTTAGCTCGCTACACTCGAGAGTATCCGAAAGCGAAAGGCTCAGCAAGCGAAGGTGTAGCACTGAACTAAAGCACCGTTCAAAATGAAGAAACTGCACGGGAGGTGGTATTAGCATAAACAGAGATTGAAGACCTAGCTAAAGAAGCAACATCCGGCTATCGACGATCCTGATGGAATCCTGGCTAGAAAAAGAGAGAGAATAGTCCAAGCAACCGACGCATGCGACCACGCAAAAGCATGCATACCGAACAGGCAAACCAAAGATGTTGATAGCTCTTGAGCATGTGACACTGTCGGTCGAAGGCCAGCACACCTTCGTTGTTTTGAAACGCTGACGATTCTCGCGTGTGTTCAGTCTTCGGTTGTTTCATTTCTTTCGGGTAGACAATTGTTCACTCCGTTGTTAGTGCTGCGAGGTGCTAGTCACACTTGTGAGTAGTTTGCACGTATCAGGAAGCGATTTTTGGATTTCCAAGGAATTCGCGATTGGATTAAATGATTTTTGTAACTACAGAAAATACGCATCCCCCGGCCGGACTATTCCATTAATTATGCTGCGTGCTTATGAGAATTATGATGACTTGTTCCAAATGAGACGTTTTGCTGTATATACGCCAGTTTATCGATACTATTGTTTGTAATGAACAACTCTCCTCGCCTCGGCACTGTATCGTGGATTTACCGCTCTAGGAGGACTGGAGCGATCAGGATCACCGGGAAACATGTGAATGCATAAGCGAAATGACGGTGTTGGGATTCTGACATCGGATGTCCGCTGAGTTCATGTTGTGTGATGTGAATCGGTACTCCTATCAAATACCGAGTGCAACAATACGTCTTCGTGACGATACGGGGGATGATGAAAAATTGAACATAGAATCTTGTATTTTCATATATACCAAATTAAGGGTTGACAACTACTAATGAGCAACTGCTTCGTCCTTCCACAACGTCGTCGATTGTATTTCATGTGAACAACCATTGTTTTTTACCTTTTGCACAAACAGATCACCGGTTATACAAGGTACATTCCCGTCTTTGTGTACAATTCGGACTCGTTTTTCGTCCGACTGCCATTGGATTCATGATTGAGTATGAACAGTCTGAGCTTAAAGCTGACTTTGATTTGTGCTTGAATTACTGTCGCTCTAAATGCTAATCTTAGTACCTGGTATTATTTTCTTCACTGAGTTTAAGCTCCCTAATTTTCCTGGGTTCTTTTCGAGTTCGTTTGATGCCTTTTGAGCTTGACACGAACCTAACATCATCATCAATCATACATCAGTTTGACGCCTGCCACCCTTAGTTACCGAGCAATTCTACTTGTTAGCGTTTTAACACGTTTACCGAAAAATCGCATACATGACTTCAAATTCCTTTCAGAATTGGCACAGCTGAATTCTCAGCTTGTCATTCTTACCATCTTCATTTTTATTCATCAAATCAGGCTCTCACTCTCTACGAAGAAGGTGTTCCCGAAGCTCGTGCTCAAATTGACGCCATCACTCTGATCACAAGTACTCTGTGTCAGATGCGCTGTTTCGGTGATGAGGATCGACGAACACTACACACACAGTGTACCCGTGCCGCGGCTCATCTGCTTCGTAAACACGACCAGAGTCGTGCGGTCGCTGCCACCGCCCATTTGCACTGGCCGGTTCCAGTGTTCTCTCGATCCGGCACCAAGCCAAGTGTCCTAATCAGTGTGACCGATAAGTCTGAGCAACAATTCATCATGCCAAGTCGATCGGAGAAAATATCGACCGAACGATTGAATGCGGTATGTGCTCTCTTGTATCCATTTGAATATAGATATATATACTTGGGTGAACAAATGTAATGGAGAACTTTCACACACACACACACACACACACACACACACACACACACACACACACTTCCTGTTTCTTCTTCCAATTAGTTCGTTTTTGAACAATCGCTTACATGATCGCATGCCAAAAGATCCACGCGCTCACGTCTTCCGTTGAACTAGTGTATCCCTACAAATTGCTTTGTTTAGGCAGATATTTCACGTTGTATGCTGATTGGTGTGCCTGTCCACATTTGCTTCTGTAACTAAGTGAATGATCCAGTATAAAAATATCAAAACTGCCAATGTGGCCCCATAGCTCAGCTGATAGAGCGAAAGCTCTATGAGACCTTAACATCGGTGCATAAGTTCGAATCTCACCTAGGCTATTGATCTTTCCACAATTCAAATAGAAATTAATTTTTGTAAGTCGTCGGCGAATAACGTACGACAGACTGCATTCTTTTAGGAAATACGCGAAGTTGTATTGTTCAAAATTCATTCTTGATCAGGCAAATAAAGGCCTGTAGTGCGCATTGAAAAAGGTTGACGACGATTGTAATTGTAATTTCAAATTGAATAGTCAAGAAAGTCCAAATTCTCTTTTAGATGAAATATTTCCAAGGTGGTCATTTGAGTTCCGGGTTGTATGCCTGTTATTAGGGCGTCTCTAATTATCTTCCCCTGTCGAACGTCAATAAGCGCAAATGATCACAATCGACCAGTTACTTGTCCGCGATTCGGAACACAGATTGTCGCGAGAACATATAAGGAGTAATAGAGAACGGAAATTTTTTTCACAACGAATATCCTCTCTATGCATAGTTGTTTAGGCATTCCCAATGGCTGTTTTGTCCCCTTCTTGAGCCACCAAACCATGGGTTTGCTTTCCCTCTTTAATATGTAACCCCTCCGAATCAAACCGTTTCTCCACGTGTATCGTATGGCGATCGAATCGGTTGCACTCGGTCGTTTTCACATACACAATTCGACTAAATTGCTCTGCGATTTTGAATAGATGGAGACACTCGACTCGTC